ATATACGTCTATGGTGATGGAGAGAAACAGAACAACCTGCACATACTGCTGATACATGTTTGAAATAACCATATAGCTCACTGATATATGACAATGGTACAGTGACAACTCACTGTAGAAAAGCCTAAGTAATATATAACCAAGTAGCAGTGGAAGAACCATTGGGAAATTAGCTTGACTCTGGTTTACCTTTTGGCACAGTGGAAAGCTGACTATTTGCAGAGAAATGCTAGTACTGATGGGGAGAAAAAATAGCCTCTTTTCATATGCAGAGAAGAGAAGCAAGACGTTTCCTTTTCTTACGTCCTGAAGATAAAAATCACCAGCACGTGAGGTAGTGACTGACTCTGTTTTAGCCAGCATTTTTTTTCATCAGAGACTGGGCTTTGCTGAGGTGTTCAGGAGTCAGTAGTTTTTGTCAGGCAGTAGCCAGGACACTCCTCAGGCTGACATTATCCTTCATAATGGTCTTAATGGTAGGATGTTGGAGAGTTTGGTGCTTGATGCAGCCTTTGATTATATCTTCCAAGCATAATATGATGTCTAAAATAATTTTTTTTAATTTGTGGGGCTGACCTCTGGTGACATATAGTTGAAGTCATGATAAATACTGGCATCTGAAATAGATGGCTTTGAGTTCTTCATTGCCTTGGAAATTTGCTCTTCTAAGGCTTTGCAAGTGCATTATTCTCAGTACTATTAGGAAAGGAAAGATGACAAAAAGAGCTTCTTTGTAAACCCCAAAGTTATGCTAACTGATAGCCAACAGAATACTCTTAAAAAAAAACAGCTAAGAACTTAAAAATTTTAACATGATTTAATATGGTAAATTGTAGGTTATCTATGTTTAGCTTTGCTTCAGCTCCAAGTGTAAAGTAAAAAAAAAAAATTCAATAAAAAGATGGAATACTGTTTCTAAATTCTAAACCTTTTAATTGAAGGAACATGGTTTAGAGACAAGCAGAAATTGACAGACTGGAAGAACATTTACATACATAGCAGTTTTCCATATCTGATGAAGTCTTGGAAATCTGAAGATGGCCATTTGTATTACAGAATATGGCTCAATGTGCAATTTTTCTATGAATCATTCTGTATTGATCTAGCTGTTGAATTTTTGAGCCTTTCCAGTATATAGTGGTTTGATTAAGTTTCATTTCAAGTCTAATTATGGGGAAACAGTTGTCTAATGGATTCAGCCACATCCAATGTAAGAGAGGCAGATTACATTCAGCAATTTTGACATTATAAAAATAAGGTACAAAATGGTATTGCAGAGTACTTCAAATTGCATGAAAGATGGTCTGAAAGCTGTCCAAAAATTTGTTCCAGGAAGTCATTGAGCTTGTAAAAATAGCCTTAACTTTTCTAGGGTATACTTTGAAGCTGCAAACATTGGTCAGCCTGAAACTAATAAGAGAAAACACAGATCTTGTTTGATTTTTCAGTCTAGCTATTAATGTCAATGTCTGGGGGAAAGATGGCAGGTCCTTGTTTGTTAAGATCCATGGGCATTGTCTGTCTATGATTCTTGTCACTGGCCTCTTAATTTCTTTCCATTCAGGCAATCCTCATCATAAACCTTAACCCTTGTGTATTTGCTCAGTCTTCAAATCCACTTCCATGCTGTCCTGCAAGCCTGGAAATTTCTCTTGCCCACAGCATCCATGCTTCCTTTGCCATTCCATTTAAAGCCCTTCTTGTGGCCACATCTTCAGAGAGCTGCATGGATATTAATAGCATTACATTATCTTTTAACCTTCCTGTGCTCTCAGGAAAACATTTCCCTTTGTTTCTTTTTCCCCCCTCCATCTACTCAGATTTATTTTTATTTTCATTATCTTTGAAGAAGGAAACACTGTGCTAATTATGCTCGTAAGTCACCTTAATCAGTAAAATGTGACACTTAGCCTCAGTTTTGCAGTTTAGGTGATCTGTAGTACCAGCAAGTGTGGCCAATCTCTGGAGCCTGTGATGCTGAGTAAGTCTGTGCCGTGACAAAGCCATGTGAGAAGTCTGATCACCGTGAGAACATGCGTGGACACACACACATACACACACGTGAATCTATTAAATTTAAAATGGCAGTCTCTCTCTGAAAGTATGCTTTCTTTCCTCTGACCCAGTTTTTCATTATGCTTTTTCTTAATAAGAACTGCCAGGTATGAAAAAAGGGTGAATTTAGAAAGATAAATAGAAGCAGATACTGAACAAAGCTGTTTAGCACAAAATGAAGACACGCAGGCTGTGTGGTTGCTGTTCAGCAGTGCAAAGTGTAGGTGTCCTGCTGTCCCACTGTAACACACGTTTATAGTGCCATACGATCCGTCTGCCCTGTTGAAAACACTGGGTTTAAAATCCTGTGATCAGATGTGCATTGGCAAACCACTGGTCTGACACTAAGCTCTTACTGGAGTTAGGGGGACACCGTTAGGGCTGCGAATCTTCACCAGGACAGATCTCAATTGCAGAGTGGGAGAAAAGACACTGCTTGGCATAAGACATGATGGCAGAAAGAATTTGAGCTTTTAGGGGAGACAGTCCACAAGACTGGGTCAGAATATCGCAGTGTAGTGTAAACCTGGTTTTGATAAGACTAATTCTTTTCTGGAACATCAAAGTCAGTAAGTCTCCAAATGATGCAGTTCAGAGAAACAAACAAAGGAACCAGAAAATATCTTTGTCAGAGATAATTTCAGTTTTAAATAAATGTAACATTTTATTAGCTTACTATCATCAGAAAATAAGCAGGCCATTGGATGTATGGAAATACATGTACACAATAACTGACTTAATTTGAACTTCCATATCTCAGTTTGAAGAAGCAGCAAACATTTATTTGTAGTCTTGTGTTTTGATATGTTAATCCCTTGTTCAGCAGCATTTGTGTGCACAGCTGCACAGTAGCTTAGTGGGGATTCAGTGTAAATTTAGACCAGACACAATTTAAAATAATACAAGTAGGTAAGCTGTGCTTCTACAGATACATAGTAGGCCTATAGATCTCGATACAGATCTATAGAGCTGTATAGCAGTTGTGCTTGCATATGGACATATACATACATGGGTCATGGGGGCAGAGAGAGAGAGAATGGGCACAAACCGAAACACCAGAGGGTCCCTCTAAACATCAGGAAACACTTGTGTACTGTGAAAGTGACTGAGTGCAGGCACAGGCTGCGCAGGGAGGCTGTGGAGTCTCTGTCCTTGGAGAGATGCAAAACCCATCCAGACATGGCCTTGCTCGAGCAGAGAGGTTGGACCAGGTAACCTCTAGAGGTCCCTTCCCACCTCAGCCATTCTGGAAGGTTATTTTCAGCATCTGCCGTAGAAATATGGCCCCTATTGCCATTGTGTAAATGTGTCATAAGTTTTAATCTGGTTATCCTTTCGGCATCCTCTGAGTTAGAATAAAAGGTTGGGCTAATTCTTTGTTGTAAAATGCATCAGCATCTTATAGGTGTGAAGTGAAGGTTGAAAGAGAATTTTCAAGTGGGCCTATTTAAGAGATGGCATTTGGGTCTTTGATTTCCCTGGCTTCTTTCAAAATCCCAGCTTTAGTTGCATAGACTGTGGAACGTAAGGTTATAAATCATATGCAGCAGAGAAAGAGAAGTGAATTTTGATCTCCAGGTCCTAAGTGAATACGCTGAGCTTCTTCTACAACTTTTCTGTTGCAAAGTAATGCATAAACTTGTAAGTGTGATTTCAAAGTAGCTCACTGAAATAGTTACTATAGAAAACAAAAAATGGTAAGAGTAAGGACTCTGGAATGACATGTTACGAGCGCGAACTGGCAGACTTGCGCTAGCCGGCTTTGTATGCCTATATTCCTCTTCCTTGGGCCTTCCCTAATTTTTTTTTCAGCCAGCTGTGCTGTTCTCCTCCCAGTGTAATGCATTTTCTCCCAGGTGGTAGAATAAAGCACTGGATCTTTCTGTTACAGTTGAACTATCAAGCCAAAAAATAATACACTTAAATGCAAGTACATTGTTATGGTAAGGGTTGATTATATTCATGTGATAGGATTGATTTCCCCGCCCCTCCCCATTTTGATTTTAGTTCAAGGATAGTATGAGTCAGCTAGACCTACAGCTAGTGAAAAATTGGAAGTTGTATTTGCAAAGGAAAAAAAAAAATATTTTGCAGTTTTTCTGTTTTTTCAGTAATAGAAATATTCTACTTACTAGTATTATTTTTTCTACAGCTTTTATCAATTTTATCTAAACCTTTTTTCAAAATTATAACAAATTTTTCACATAAAGCATTTCAGTGAAAAGAAATATGGAACATAATTCAAAAGTTATACTGAAATTTAGTTCCGAGAAACGAAACATTACATTGGGCAGATGAGTTGGGAAATAGTAAACTAGGTCAGTGTAGTAGAGTTGCTTTTGCCTGGACTGTAGACAGATAAAAGTGTACATTAAAAACAGGAAATTAGCTTGGAAGGCAACAGTGAAGCTTAGAAAAACAAACAGAAGTCATCAGCATACCTGGTTTGTTCTCCAGTTCTGCCACATAAATCCAGTGCCAGAAATTAGAGCTTTCAATTTCAGATTTCCTTTGGTCTGAGTGAGAGATTACCCAAATAGAGATAATAGAACTCACCACAGAATAGTGTTTTTGAAGAAAGACAATTCTGTTACATACTCAAGAGTGTTCCTGAAGTTTCCAAAACTTCCAGTGAGAGTAACTCCTGAACACTGCTAACGTCAAGTTGCTGTTTTGATAGCAAAAGCAGACAGCATGAACAGCTTTCTAATTGCCATTATTTTAGTAAAGCCAAAGTTGTGGCCAATATTAACTGCAAATATAAGACTATTTTCACGTGAAATAATATGTACCTTTGACGTTAACTAGAAATCTCTCTGCTTTTTAGTACTCATCATCGTTTCTTTTATGTGGAGTGGCTGTGACTCATACTACAGCTGAAAGCACATTTTTAAGCATTCTGTCCTGTAATATCTTTGTACCTCTACATTTTTCTCCCCCCTCAGAGACTATGAAGAAGATATTTCAAGAAAAGGGCATCTCGGCAGGAGAAGAAAGAGCTTTTAAACCACATCTGACCTTCATGAAGTTGTCAAAATCAACACAGCTACGTAAGCAGGTGAGCTCATATTTCACATAGCTCAGCAGCAATCCAGAAAGTTTAATTCGGAGACGAATAAAGGAGTTGCTTATGCTATAGCATCATACTTTCTACTTTGTAACCAGCTGAAGAGGTAAGACTACCATATAAACAGTAGTCCTGTACTGTACTTGAAGTTACCACTCTCGATATTCTCAGTACAGTAATATCATGGTCTTGTCTCTTTTGTGAAAGCAGGCAAGAGCAAAGGATGAAAGTACTTGTTCAAAATTATGTAATTATTATTATGGTGTAGATTATATGCATGCAGTTTGTTTGGATAGTTTTGTTACTGTATATGAGAAAATAAGCAAATAAAGAGTGGAGTTTGTATTTGGATTATGCATAATGGGCAGACTGTCAGTTCCCTCTATTGAATATGCTTTGGTGAATTTCAGAGTAGTGGTGAAAGACATCTTCTATATTGTCTCTTGCAGGCAGTTATTTCTTACCTGTTTATTAGCTTTTTTGACAAAATACACAACTACATAAAAGTGGAATGTAACTGTAGTGATAAATATATAGAATCAATACTAGTGGATGTAGTTTTTTATTTTATACTAATTTAACAGTAATATTGTAGTATTTAACATAAGGTATATGTCCTTTTTTTTTTTTGCTGATATTATATGGAATGTTTTATGTGATCCTTTAACATTGAACAGGAAAATAATTTTCAAAAAATATGTTTTTAAATAAAAATGAAGTACATAATACTTTAAATTGATTTTTTTCCTTAATAGTAAGCAGTAAAGAAAAATATGTTAGAATTTCATTAGAAATAACTAAAAAATGCTGAAGGTGCACATTTTAATTAAGTAGTATTGTGAAATCAGTTGGAAGAAGGCAGTGAGACTTGAGATAGATCAAGAAACTTCAAGGGCACATATGCTTGCTCTGAAACAGAAATAAGAACTTGTACACAGGTTGTAGATGGTATATTATAGCTGTTACATTTGTAAGCTTAGATAAGCTTTTGTTTGTATTAACAGTTGTTTTTTTAAAACATTTTAAAAATGCATAGCTCTTCTAGAATATCAGCTGTTCAGTAATTTAACTCTTTGGTTAAAATGTCTGAGATAATCAGGGTGGGGTTTTTGCCATTCTGTTCTTTGGTTGTGTTTTGGCTGGTGGTTTGGGTTGTTCACGTTTATCTACCTGGGATGAACTGTTAACCAGGATGCATACTTTCTGTGTTCTGATATCCACTGCTGCTGACAGAACCAGGTCAGTGTCATTCTAGATCATCTTCCTTAGTCCTCCATAATGCTGGATAATACATATGGTATTCTAAAGACACACTGTATAGAAAGATACTATGTATTAAAAATCTGTGAATTTTTCTCTGTCAATCCACTGTCAGGCATAAGCATAGGTCTTTACTATGATTTTTTGTTTCCTTGTGTCCATGCATTTAGTGAGCTAGTTTCATCCATTTACTGAAAACAGTAAATAAAACCATGAAACATAAAAGGAATAACTATTTTGTAGTACATTTTAACATAATGTCTAATTGCACTTTCAGATCACACAACAGTATGAAAAACAAGAAAGGGGGAGTGGGTGAAGATTACGTGAGAAAGCATATAAAAGAGCAAATAGAACTAAACTAGTTGAGTATAGTTCACAGCTATAGCTTTATAACTATATTAATATTTTTTTTAAATGTAAGTGTTCTTATTTGAAGGAAAACTCTGTTAAGCCACTTTCCTCATAATGACATCTAAATTCCACTGAAGTTATCTTTTTTTGGGGGAGGAAATCTATTTTTCAAACCTTAATATAGCTACAGGCATTTTTGAAATGCATATATTCCGAAAAGATTTTAACTTTCCCAAATTGTTGCTGGTATTTACAAAGCAAAGAGTTTGAGAATTCAAAATGAATCAAGATCTCAAGAAGTCAGCTTTCCACTTTGAAGGCACAGCATTAAGCTAAAAATGGTAAATGCAAAATACTTGGAAACAGACATTAATAAAGGATAAAAATGTTAGGTAAAGTGTTAGAAAAGAGCTATGTGGGTTGCTGTACCCCCTCCAGCTTCTCAGGTTAAACAATTAGTTACCTATTGAGAAGCGGGAGCAACTCATTCTTCATGCTTAGTTGGGACAATTCTGAGATCAAATGTGCCACTGAAAACTTCCCCAAAATAAGGAGGTACAGTGTGCCTCTAGGTGTGCTTGTGGAATGAGATAAAAGGATATAATTTACTTGCACAGGTTTAGCTATTTCCACAGTTGTTTGAATGATAAGAATCTTCTGTACAAATAACCTAATGAAACACAATGAAAGAAACAACTGGGGTTTTGCACTTGAAGATAACCTTTCTATTCCTGCTTCTCTCATTAGCCGGCTACGTTGCCACAGGTCAGTCACAACCCCTCTGTTTTTCATTTGTCCAGACTGGTGTTTATTTCAGGGCGTGTTGTGAGGCACACTTGACAAATGCTGAATGACATTTGGAGATTCTTTGATACCTAGTGCTGTCAGAACTGCAAATACTGTGAAATGTATTTCATAAGTAGAAGATGACTGACAGCTAAATTGGTCTGGTAGCATCTGCTTAATTAGTAAGGACTATTTCCTTAGACTAGACAGTGGTTGACAAGAAAAAAATGCCAAAAATATAGTTTATTAATATTTATTATATGATATTCTTTTGTACAGTATATCTTTAGAATGCTGTACATATAATTCGTAAAAAAGAATATATTAGAAAAATCTGCTTGTATTTACACCAATTCCAAGTGTTCTACAAGGCCTGATTCACTGTTACCATTCAACTTCAATGGTAACATCATCAAGATGCTAGATATTATTTTGCAGACAGTATTATGACGATTGCACTGGAAATAGCAGTAACTGCATGATTTAGTAATTTATGCTTGTATTTTTTAATGTAAATTATGTTAAACTTCTGCCACTATCCTAGTTTCATATAGAGATAACATAAGATACTTATTTTGTAATAATAATTCCTGCATCATAAAGGAGGAAATTCCGCACTGAATCAAACCCAAAGCAGTGTCTCCAAACTCAGATCTTTTTGATGTGCTTTCACATTCATCTTTTTGCTATCTTCAGCTAGACATACCAGATAAGATGTTTAATACTGATAATTATGCAGGTAATTACTTTTTTCTCATGTAAATTTTCTCTCAATTTATGTGACTAATATTTTTGGCTTCCTGAAATCAAATATAGCTAAAGAGACGTGTATCGGCTGATGTGTTTTATTAGCCATACTATAAAAGCAGTTACAGCAAGCTTTGGCAGTCAGACAATAAGCTAATGTCTCTTATGTCTTATTTAGATACGGAATCTCAGGTACTTATCTCATTGCAGGAAAGGTTATTACTTCTATAGTACTTACATATCGTGTCTCCTGCTTCATTAATTTCATAATGATTTTTTGTTGCATATGCATACATCAAACACGGTGTTCAGTAAAGATTCTGCACATGACAAGAGAAGTGAAAGGGAATCCTCCCCTTCTAGTATTATTTCTTTAATATTTACTCCATACTGGAAAGTAGAATCTAAACTGTGGATTTCTGTCTTACATCCCTAGTATATTTTTCATTTTCCTAGAATTGTAATTTTGCTTTTATTTATACCCATATGGCACATATACATAGTCGTACCATATAGGACCTTAGGAGAAGAGAGCAATTCTCAGTAAAACCAAAGCATTTCTGTTTATCAGTCCCCGCTGATTTTGACCTCCCAGCATTCTTTTTATAATAACTCCTGGGATCTCTGGCATTTTGGACAGAAATGCTGGTATAAGACAAGCCACAGAGCTCATTAAATCCCTCTGTATTTTGATTTATCAGCTTCTGCGTCGGTGGTTTGCATTGTGACAACTGTTACTTGCTGATTACGGGAGTGTGAGGCACATACTTACTTGGAATCTTTGATGCTGATACTAAAATGGCTGAAACGATTACTTTGGCACAATACAAAATAATAAACACTTTGCTTTCACAGTCTTATGAGACCAGCAGAAATGTTTTGTGATTTTTTTTTTACAGTATTTTTTTAATCTGAAGGTCTAACAACAGGGGCAGAAAATGCACAAACTGGGTGACCCAACAGCTGGAAGAGGTTCTTGAATTCTCGTCTTTCAGTTTTTCTGCTTTCGTATCATACAACATATTGCAGAGATGTGTAACTACACTACTTGTTTTAAGCAAGAAGAAAGGACATACACTGTAGACAGTTTGTTACAGGCTAAATGCAGTGTGAGGTGTTCGTCATAGTGATAATTCTTTAAATTACCAAACTGCCCTACTGAACATGGTAGATACGATGTAATCTTTGCTTTTGCACATACTGCTGTTACAGGACTGAGGCTGCAGAAGGCAGCACCTCTGTACGCATGAACTCTTCTAAGTCCACGTGGGGATCATCAAGGTCTAGGCAAAGAAACTTTTCCACAACAGACTTGCATTTTTCCATGCGATCTTCTTTTGAAGGATGATCAATCTGTTTGATAGGTTTTCCATTGCGAATCAGTTCTGACACTTCCACTCCTCTTGCAATAATTTTGGCTGGCATTCCTGCTAATGCAGCGATATTGGCAGCATGACTAACAGTGGACATGCCCTGTTTGATCTGATAGAAGAATATCAGCTCATCTCCATCTTGGTGGGTCTCCATGGTCAGGTACTCCAGAAGAGGTGTGTCAGGCAGGAGTTCTAGCTGCATTAAACTGTGAAAATTAGTGGAGACAAAGACCTGCGGACACTGGGTTCCTTGACTGATCCAGTACCTCAGCACAGCAGCCAGAAGGGACAGGCCATCCAGTGTGTTGGTCCCTTTACCAAACTCATCAATAAGTACCAAGGACCTCTCTGTGGCATTGTTTACTGCCTTGGCAACCTGATTAAGATCAATCATGAAAGTAGAGAGCCCTACAGAAACTGATTCCCTACTGTGGATTCTTGTGTAAATCCCATCAATTACTCCAATCTCTG